CTTTTAAACAGAACTAGGGAGAGACTGTGGCAGCAGAAAGCAGAAGGGAGATCCAGGCTGCGGGGAGCCGAGAAGGGAGCAGTGCCCTTGGGAGGAGGCTCTCAAAGACACTAATGGAGATCCCACAGCCCTGCCTCCAAGGCTTCAGATGTACGTAGGTACAGGGGTCCCTCGGGTATCTCTGCCTGCCCAGGGTGAAAGGCACAAGACTTCCTCAGACTCTATGAGCACTACAAGTCCTAACCTCAGGCCAGCCCATGACCTGCCCGGGAGCTCGGCTGGGCTGCTGAGTCCAAAGTGCAATTTGGCATCACCAGGAGGATGAAGACTCCCAGTGCCTAGGCAGCTGGGTACCAGGCCCAACATGGGTACTACTCCTTCAGACTGGCAAGCACCTTAACCCTGGCATCCTAATCTCATAATCACAGAAGGAAGTATCCATTCTACCTACCAAAATAATCCCTCAAAAAAACTTGTGTGGGTTGTTAGAGAGAAAGTCTGGCAACCTGGAGCCATGTACCACCCTCTGCCCCACAGCAGCCCCTGGCCAGCTCCCTCTGGTCTCCAGACTTGAGAAAGGGCTGGGAGACTTGCTGGGGAAAGAAGGCCAGGCCTGGCCAAAGGAGGTGGTCGCTCTGGAAACAAGAGAAGGGCCCTTGCCCCGCCCCCTCCTGTGCACGTGGGTGTACAGGAAGGAGCTGCAGGAGCTCAGTGCTCCAGGGTCAGATGTCTGGGCTGTGTTCCAGTGGCAGCAGCTAATGTTAGAACACCAGAAGGAAGAACCCGCTCAGCAGAGGACAGCGACCCGGCGCAGGAAGAAAGCGGAGCCAGTCCAGTCATGGCTGCTGACTGTATGAGCTAGGCAGGGGCTGGGGGGCAAGGCCTGGGCCCTTGAACCCTCTCTCCTGGACATGTGGGCCCCGATGCCCAGAAAGGAAAAATGCTGAGCGTTCATCAGTTCTTTCTTTTTCCTACATCTTTCCCAGCAGTAGGGACACTTATGCTGTCACCACTTTTTGGAAGGAAAATGAGTCATTATAAGGATGACTAGAAAGACAGGGACAGAAGCTGCTCCTCTTGCTCCTCACTAGGCCTCAGGGCACCAGCGTGGGCTCTCTTCCAGCGCATCCTAACACCCAGCGCTCCCAGAAGCCCTGTGACTTTCCCCTGCAGCCTCAGATCTTCTGCCCTCTGTGACGAAAAGCAGCTCAGGGCCCGGGGTAGGCTGTGCCTCAGGGACCTGCTCCCAGAATTCCAAACGGCCTGTGCTGGAGCACGGCCCAGCCTCCCCAGGATCATGTTTTCTTTTTTAATCTTAACTCCCCACTTCTGTTATCTTCTTGGTCTGACTAGAAAACAAGAGAAACTATTTTCCATCTTGCCTGTTGTTATCTTCAAGGTACAGTATTTACATGAGGATGATGTTACAAGTCGTCAAAGTGGATGCAAAACCCAGCACCTACCCCTGCACCTTTGCAGGCTGTTCCCAGTGAACACTGACACCAGGTGACCCTGCAGTTCAGTGTCCTGGAGGTCATCGTGGCCTGAGATTGTGCAGGGTCTTTTTGCAGTTATTTACCGTGGAACCTTCTAGGAGGCCTGCAGGATCCTCGAGATGGCCACAGCCTCTAGGGCCATGCCAAAAGGTGCTGGGTGGAGCACATGGCCTTGACCTGAAGTCTGTGCCCTGATACCCTGCTTACAAGCTATGTCCTGGACACCCCTACCCAGACCTGATCTGCAGTTTGCTGGATAAGGGCTAGAGATGGGTGGTGTAAGGCTGTGGGCTCTGTGAGCGACACGCCAGGCACCCCCATCGCCTTCCTGTGGGCCTACACTGGGCCTCCACTCGCCCCAGGTAAGCAGCACCGGGCCAGGCCCGGAAGGTGGCCAACAATGTGTGCTGTGTCAACCAACCCACAGACGGGTTGCTCCACGGGGGCTGCTCCCACACTGGCCTGCCATCTGGAGCAGAGGGGGGAAGGGGAGCAGGGGGAGACAGATGGGACCACAGCACTGCGCCAGGTGGTTCTGGGCCTGGATCGGCCAGTAACAAGAAGCAGCAGAAAGGAGGACACTCTCCAGGGAGGCAGGCAGAGCCTGGGAAGAAAGTGAAGACTCCAATCTATAAGACAGAATCGCAGGCCAAGACTCTTCCAATGAGCCCGCTCACTTCCCTTGACTTCCTTCTTTTGAACAGACAAGTTTCCCTCCCTGGCTGGGGCTGAAAGGCCATGCTCTCCTGGCTGGGGCTCAGGCCACATCTTTGGAAAATCAGCTCAGCCCACCTCAAGCCCATGTGCCTGGGGGCCAGGTCTATGGCCAAGACCAGCCAGTCCCACCCTGAGAGGGGACTGAGCACAGCTGCAGCCACGGGGGCCAAAAGCACTGCTGGACCCAGGGAACAGCACCTCCTGTGAGATTTCAAGGGAGTCCCTTGCCCTGATGCTGCTGCTTCTGGTCAGGGCTACTCTAGATATATTCTTCAGATTTCCACAGGGAAAGAAAGTCACCACCAGCAAATAAACAGAGCAGCTCCTACCTGCACCCCAACCCCACAGCTGTGATCTGAGCAGCAGCCAGCAAAGGACCAAAACAATGACAAACTTATAAGTCACTGGGCAATGGGAACATGCACATGCACTTACTCTACAAATATTTACTAAGCACCTACTAGGCACTAGGTGCAGGTGGGTGCTAGTACCAAGTATTCGGCAACAAGCAAAACAGACAAAATATCCTGTTTTCATGAGGCCCCATCCTAGCATAGAATTCACTCAATAAACACAACAAAGAGGTAACTATATAAAGTGATAAGTACCAAAGGCAGAAATCAGATGGAGAAAGAGGACAGGAAATATGTGTAGAGGGAGGTATAGAGGAGGCAGAAGCTGGGGGCAGGATTAAATTTTAGGCTGAGAAGAAGTGATCAGGAAAGAAAGAAAAGGAGGGAGAGTCCTGTGCTAACAGGAGAGAGCTCCATGAAAGAAGTGCAAAGGCCCTGAGGCGGGCTCACACTTGCCACATCTGAGCTAGGACGATGTGACTTCAGCAGAGGAAAAAAGGAGAACAAGGGTAAGGTCAAAGAGGTCACAGCAGGCAAGACTACATAGGCCTTGTACATCCTAGTGATTTGCTTGCTAGTAGGAGGTTTCGAACAGAAGGTGGACAGATCTGATGGGTAGTCCCACTGACCACTGAATGGAAAACAAGTTAAAGGAACCAGGAGCAGGGGACCAGTTACCATAAGAATCCATAGGAGAGGTCAGCAAGTGAGACAAGGGTGATGGTAGGGGCATGATGAGACGTGATCAAGTTGCAGGTATCTATTAAATGCAAGCTGGAAAGGACGTAGTGATGACAAGACAGCTGAACTGCCATAGCAGCTCCTCCTTGCTGCAATGACCACAGATGTCACTAACCAAATACACCTTGGCAGCAATGCCAAGGACACAATGAAGAGCCACAAAGATTGGTGTCCAGACACCAGCCTGAGCACAGGTCAGCAAAACAAGCTGGCAGGCAGGGAGAAGCAGAGCTGTGAGGCAGTTACCATCTCATTCCAAGTCTCAGCTGCTATGTTTACAAAATGAGAAGGTCAGGCCCAATGGCTTCTAAGCCCCCTTTGTACATCCTTCACGACCCTGCTAGTGCTCCTGCTCTGCACGGTTTTTTCCAGTGTGCTTCGGCCCAGCTCCCAGACCTCATAAGAGCTTCACCTATGATTTTTTTTTTTTTTTTTTTTTTTTTTGTCTTTTTGAGACAGAGTCTCGCTATGGAGTTCAGACTGGCCCTGAGCTCACTTTGTAACCCAGGCTGGTCTCGAACTCACAACGATCCTGCTGCCTCAGCTTCCCGAGTGCTGGGATTACAGGCGTGCGCCACCACGCCCAGCTTGAGCTTCACCTATGAGTTACTACTAGTGGGATCACAATGTTCCTGTCTGTCCAGACAAGCCTCTCCCCCAACTAGACTGGAAGCTGCTCAAGGGCAAGAAAGGTAAGGCTCAGCTCTGAGTCACACTGGCTCCTGAATCCTCCAGCCCACATGTGACACATGTCAGGTGCTCGCGGAAGGCCTATGGAATGCATGCAGAACCCAGTGGCTTCCCAAGCTCTTGCCAGGGCAAGAGACCTCGATCTATTTGCTCGATCTGTTTGCTTTTCATCGGCATGAGGTTAGGAAAGGGAGCCTGACTAACAGTGCTTAGTGTGGGCTTCCATAAGGGGCTGTAGAGGATGCCAAAAGGGAGACTGGGTGACACAACTGGGTGGCTGTTGGCCTCTTACTGAACCACGGAAGCGGCAGAATTGAAGGACATACCCAGCTGTGTACCTCATCAAGGGTATTTCTGCCTGAGTGTGACTTTCCTGCAGGGGGCCAGCCCCCACTCGCTTCTGAACTGGGCTTCGAAGGGGGGTCGGGTTAAGGTTGTTTTGCTCATAGTCTAAGGCTCAGTTACCTGCTTCCCTGCCCAAGACCACCACTACCTGATCAGAAGATAATTGCTACACAAGGTAGCTGTCACCATAGCAGGTCACCTTGGCCACCAGGCTGCACCTCTTTTCTCCCTCATCTCCCACTCCTGACATTCCTGAGATGGCAGGTCTTGTTCTGCACCGCCCTTTGGAGACAGGGTCTTATCTTGGCCACCACTCAGGGCCCCTTCTGGAAAGCACCTCCCCTTGCCAGGTGGAAACAGAAGGAATGTCAGGCTCAGCTTGGCAGGGTAGCGGAACCATGCTTGGCATTATTTAATGGCCTTACCTTGCCCAATCACCAGATAAGTACTAATCTGGGCCAGGCTACCTCCTTCTTATGGGTGTACATCAAAGCTCTAGGCCCCACTGCCCCATGACCCCAATCTGGAACATCTCACATGGCTCTGCTCTCAGGCACCTTGAAACCAGTTTGCTGAATTTAGATGTCCCATCTACAGCCACCTGCATGTCAGGCCTCAGAGAAAGTCATCAAAAAAAAAAAGCCCACTAGGTCCTCACCAGTTCAGGGCTGAAGGTCCTGCATGCTATAGAGTCAGCTCCCTGGTTGGCGAGGCTTCTCGTTAGGATCATCACCATGGTAAGGACCTCAGGTGCTGGGCTGCATCCCAGGGTGGGCAGAAGCCATCTTCAGGTAGTCAGACCTGGCCAGCAGTGATGCCTGGGCACCCCCAGGGTAATGATATCAGCAGAAACAGCTGCCCATGGGTCCCTCACCCTTGTGACAGGGCCCTTCCAGGAAATGGCCAAGCGTGGTCAACTCCCTGGAAAGATAAAAGGTAGGCAAAGGGGTTCAGGACTACGAAAGACACAGACCCTGAGATAACAGCCCCCCACATCTGTGGACCCTGTGGGAACAGACAACCTCATTATTAAATGAGGTACATTCTGGGAAGGTCACAAAAGCCTAAAATCACCTTCTCAGAACTACCCGCCCCCCCCCACGAACCTCTTCTGCCAGCCCTGAGCATCCCTAAGTCAATATCCTGCTGAGTGGTTCAACAAATTTGGGTTGCCACACAATGCCTTTAAGATCTATCTCAGGGTCTATCTGGCTAACAATCTGAGATCCCTGCAGTGTGCTCAAAGCATGTGACACTGACCCAGGGGCAGCGGGTAGTGCACACCTGTAATCCTAGTACTCAGGAGGCTGAGGCAGGAGGATCCTTGGGAGTTTGAAGCCACCTTGGGCTACATAGTGAGTTCAAGGCCAAGCTGAACTATACAGCAAGACCTTGTCTCAAAAAACAAAAAAACAAGCAAAAGACAAGTGACATCGCACCACTGAGCTGGTATTACAGGCAGCTTCAGCACATACTAGGACAAGTAAAGACAGGAGGAGGATTGAAACATGCTTCATCCCCCACATCCAAAACTGAAGGGGGCAGCACTCTGGGAGTCAACTGGAAGCAGAGGACCCACAGCTGGCACGCTAGTTCTCCTCCCCGCCAGTTATGAGCCTCATGGGGAGGCTCCATGTAAGTCACACATTTTTTGTTCTTGCCAGTGCCACATTTCAGCATCAATATATTTACAACACTGGGGGCTTCTGTAGCTTTGTCCTCTTCTCCAGAACGAAACACTGAGTGGACTTTCCACAGCGACAGGACCCACCTCAGCATCACCATTCCACACAGCCAGTCACCTCCTCCCTAGTTTACCATCATTTCCCATGAAGCAAATACAGCCTTTAGTTCAGGCTTGAAAAATTCCTCCTAACCAGCTAATTTCTCTGATCCTACTTCCCCACCCCACCCTTCTGTGGTTAAGCATTCAAAGAAAGTCAGGCATTGTCAGGACACAAGGAATCTGAAGACCACCATCAAAAACTAAAACATAATGACAATAATAGTAATACATAAATAGAAAGGCAGCTCCTAAACTGTAATTAAAAACAAACTGCTCAGCACAGGAAAATGTTTTAGAATCTGCTGCTCTACGTAAAAATTAATTGCACCCTGGTATTTACTTGCCATCCAGATTGTAAATCATATTTTCCTGTTTACTTCGATTAGACTTTACAGTGGGTGTTATTGAAATTGCTCAATTACGGGCCAGCTGGCAAGCACAGGAAAATTACCTTCTACTGTTCTTCGAAAACAAGGTTCATCCAAAGTGCAGAAGCAGGGAAGGGGAGGAGGAAAATCAATACATTTCCAAAGCCTGGCTGCTCGGGAAGGAAGGCCCAGGGTCTGAAGACTCCCAGGCTGCACTGGGAGACCTGATATGTAACTTCAATGCCATATCCATCTGGAAACAGCGTCCTAACCAAGTGTGAGCTGTTGAGGGAAGGAATTCCAGACCACTCCTCCAAGTTCTGGCCAAACAGCTGAGCCAGAAATGCCGGTTGGCCCCCTGGATGCTTGGCTCAGGAGCAGGCCAGGAGGGGTGCTCCTGGACTCAGCCTTCAAAGGGGCCCTTTGTGCTGCCTCGGTGGCGAAGGCCTGATGGCAGCCATCGTCTTTCTGGGCGTGAGCCTCAATTCAGTTCTAGGGCAGCCAGCCACTGGCACAAGGCCTGGGAGGGACCTGCCCCTCGCTCCCCTCCCCCACATTTCCTTCTCCTCCAAGGGGGTAGGTAGGTTTGGTAGTTACAAACGCAGGTCCTGAGCCAAGAACACCTGAGTTGGGATCCCATCTCCTGAGAGGCACTGTTTGAAAAACCTATGCCAAGTGACTTACTCTCTGCACCTCAGTGTCCCTCTGTAAAATGGAGACAACACTTCCTGCCTCATAAGGTTACCATATCCTATGGAAGCAGAGCTCAAGCCCTCTGCTCAGGGCCCAGCTGGTTTGCGAAGTGTTCAGCAAACAGTGGTTGCTGCTTTTAGTTTCATGGGCAGCTGGTGAATCCAAGTTCTTTTCTGGGCAATGGACACCCAGGCAGTTACCCTCTCAAATTTGTTTAAATTCCATCAAGAGGAGCCTGGCTATATTATGGCCCGTTCCTCTAGTGAAACAGTGGGAGGCCAGTAAGAACGATGCTGCGAAAGTCTATTGCCATGGAAACACATCAGCCCATCCAGACACAGCTCTGCACAAAGAAGGAAGCTGGACTGAAGTAGTTAAGGGCCCCCTGGCTCTCACCAGCTCTGTTTCCACCATAGCCCCTACAAGGGCACCAGGGCTGGCAAGGGAGCGCAAAGAATGATATGTACATAACACAAACCATAGCACCATAAACTCCTGGGTGCCTGACTAGTCAGCAACTGACTGCAAGTGCCAAAACGAGGAGGAAGGGATGGGTCTTGTAAGGAGTGCTGAGAAGTAGGCGCTAGATAAATTGAAGGTAAAAGGAAAGGGGCACTGGAGGTATGTCTTCAAGAGATTCCTCTGCAAAGGGGCCAAAGACACACAGTACTGCCATAAGAGGAGGTTCTCACCCACAAGGACTTGGTCCAGCAAGCAATAGGGTAGTTATGGAAAGGACACCATTATGGCCTTTGAAAATGTTTCAATACAACAGTCAGGACATGATGTAGAGAATGACGTGCATACTAGCCACTGACGCAGAGGGAATGGGGAGGACAACAGGACAAGGAGCCGGAAAGATAGATCCAACCAGAACACAGGCTCTGAAATCCACACTGAATGCACACCTTAACCTGCAGCTGTGGGGAGTCCTGAGGGGATTCTGAGGCTAGAGTTGGTGGCTTTGATCTGCTGGAAGAGATTTCTTTTCTCTGCACCCTTCACAACACCTAGCACAGTGCTCTGCACAAGATAAGAGCACAATACACATTTCTGGAATTAGGTTAAATCATAGTCACCTCTGTAATGGCCTGCGCACATTCACAGACCTTGCAAGGCTAGTCTCAACCAGGAGAGCTGGGAACAATCTGGAATTCTCTAGGATTCCTTTGGTCTGTGACACGGGCATAGCCAACTTCACTGGGGAATGGCAGCCCCTGTCCAGAGACTTAGACCACTTTAAGAATAGAGCCAGTGTCTTCTCATAGTGTGGCGCTGGAAAGGGCAATAACTGGGTAACCCCACAGTGGGGTGGAGGTAGGGAGCTTGACAAAGCCCTCCAGAGGCCACCCCTAGAGCATGGACTTTGCTTTTTTTGGTGCACTTTCTCTGAATCTGCATTAAGAACAGCTTCTCTCAGAGGCTGAGGCAGAAATATCACAAATTCAAGCCCAGCCTGGGCAATTTAGTGGCTTAGCAAGACCCTGTCTCATAACAAAAATTTAGAGAGGGCTAAATACTTATAAGGTATAAAGGCTCTGGATTCAATACCCCGTACCTTGGAACAACAACAGCTTCTAGACAGGCATGACAGCACACCCCTTTTATAGTCCCACTGTACAGGAGGACTTGTTATAACCACTCCCCAGCCACTCTGGCCATGAGGCCTTTAACAGAGCTGAGCTGATGCTGGTGCCATGTCCCAGAACTGTGAGCTAAATAAACGTCCCTTCTTTATAAAGTTACTCAGCCTCAGGTATTTCACTGAAGTAGCAGAAAACGGATACCAGGTACCTTACACGCATGAGCTACAAGGCAAGTTCAGTTGTCCCCATTTACAGCCATATGAAGGAAACTCAAGGGAGTCTGGGCTCAGAGCTGAGATTTGAACCAGCTCCCATGCCAGTGCTTCCCGCTGCTGACATCTCCATCCCAAATGCACCCTTCAGAAGCCCACTCTGGCAACAACCACATTCAGCCCAGGAACTGCACCCCTTAGCACTTATTTGACAGAACTAAAGACTCATGTTTACACAAAAACCTACACACAAAGAAAGATGAATGAGTCACTTGTAGGAAAATGGATGCACCCTGAAACCATAAAAAGTGAAATAAATCAGACACACAAGCTTAAATATTGCATGGTTTCTCTTACATGTGAAACCCGAAATATAAAGATAATAGGAAAATAAGGGACCAAAGAAAAGATAATAGGAAATAGGGAGTTAGAGCCTTTGCAAAAGGGAAGGGAACCAAGAGACTAGGGGTAAGGGGTGGGGATTAAGATGTGTTACGCACATGTACCAACTGCCCACAAGGAATGTAATCATTATGTACCGCAAATATGTACCAATAAAAATAAAAATTTTTAAAACCCACACACAAATGCTTTATTCATAACAGCCCAAGCCAGGAAACCACTGGGTGAATGGTTAAACAAGCCCTAGTCCATCCATACCATGAACTACTACTCAGTAGAAATAAAAAGACTGGACAATTAATACATACAAGAATGTGCACGAACCTCCAAAGAACTGCACTGAGTGAAAAAAAAATCTAATCTCTAAAGATTAGTTATTGTATGATTCCACTTATATTATATAGTATATCATGGAAATGATAAAATTACAGAATTGGAGAATAAATTAGTGGTTAAAAGGGATTGGAGAGTCCGGGGATATAGCTCAGGGGCACAGTGCCTGCCTGGCAAGTGTGAGATCCTAAGTTCGATTTCTGGTACCAAAAACAAACAAAAAAGGGAGGGAGGGGATTAGAATGAGGTGTGGTTAGAAAAGGCAATGGGAGGGTCCCTGGCAGAGGGAGAAATGTTCCGTATCTTGACTTTATCAGTGTCAATTTCCTGCTTATGCTATTGCACTATATAGTCTTTCAAAACACTATTATTGGGGGAAATAAGAGAAGCCAAGATTCATCTGTATTATTTCTTACACAGTGGTTTTCTTTCTGTTTGCAAACTTTGTATCGGGTGACAAACACGACCACAGTCATTTTTCCTGCCCGAACACAAACATGGCCATCTTTTCCAAAATCATGGAACAAATTAAGTTTGTGAG